ATGGCCTCCCACAATGCTGGTATTACAGGTGTGAACCACCATGCCCAACCCAGAGTTATTTCTTGAGCTATGCCAAAATAAAACAAAACAGAAACACCAGAGGTAGTAGATACTGGTGTTACTAACCCTGTTTTAGTTAAAGTGTAGGCCTCTTCCTACACCAGTGGTGCTTCCTCTCCAGGTAATATTTCCCAACCTACCTCATTCTTAAAACCCTATGACCTACTCTCCCTACCCTGATGGAAAGGACTTTAGATTTGAAGCACAGAACCCTGAGGCTAGTCTCAGCTGCACCTCCTCAGTTGTGTGACAGTGTGCTACTCAGAGGCCTTCACCAGGGCACCTTCCCTCATCTGGGCAGTGAGGGGATTACTCTAAACATGTGAGTCTCAGCCCTTTTTTTCTAGGACATGAGTGTCTGGTGACATTCCTTTATAGACCTTCTTGTTGGGTGGCCTACTTCCTAGCACCTTAGCTGTAACTTAACCCCGCTCCTGCACTCAAGGAATCACGCTGGAATACAGGGGAGTAAATGATGCTATTATAGGGATAACCTTGAATCTGTTCTGAGTTCTCAGAAATGTGAGTACCCGTGAGGTGTAGTTTTGTTCTTAGTCACAGGTCACTTGAACGCTAGGCAGTGAGAGTGTCAGGGCCTGGAGGCAGAGGGCCTGTCCTAGACCACATCCCTCCTCCTCCCACAGCCTCAGCCTGCAGGCAGGTGCCACCTTCCCAGGTTAAAGTGCAGGTGTCCTTTAGTTATTTAAAGGGTTGCAAAACCTTGGTCTTTGGGGTTGACAAAAACCCCGTGTGACTGTAGAGGGACTTAGGCTGGATTGGAAAAGCATCTTCCGTCTGTGAGACCACCCCATCGAGCTGTGATCCTGGATCTGCATATTTCTAAACTGAGTTAGAAAATAATCAGCCTGGTGTGTTTAGATCCAGCTGTGCAAGAAAACTGGATGGAATTCCCCTCCTTTCTTTACTTTCTTCTGGGGTTTGTTGTTGTTGTTGTGTCCTTTTTGTGGAGAACAGGGTCTCACTGTGTAGCCCAAGCAGGTCTCAAACTCCTGAGTTTAAGCGATCCTCCCACCACAGCCTCTCAAAATGCTGGGATTACAGGCATGAGCCACCACACTAGGCCTGGTCTTCTAGCTTTGTTACTGATGGATTTGTAACCACCCAGAGGTTAGAAATACAGCCCTTTCCCAGAGCTCCACCAAAGTCCTTGGATTGGTAGCATTTCCAAGACTTTTTAGCCGAGATGCTTATATGCTAAGAATCTCTGAGGAAAGAGGTGTGCCATGGAGTCAAGTGTCCACTTTGTAGTTAACCAGGCCCTGAATTTTCTGCCTGGTCGCATAGTTCAAAGCACTGCCAATGAAGGGAAAAAAAAAAAAAAAAAGATTTGGAGAGGACTCTAAGCAAAGTGGTGCATCAGTTAGCCTCCCGTCTCTTAGCACCCTGGGCCACCAGAGTCACGGCTTTTCATGCAGAGTTAGGCACCCAATTAAA